CTGCTTTTTTCTCTGTTGTCAGCATCGTTCCCGTGGAACCCTATCTTACTTGCTATAATGGCATGTCTGTTATCTCTGTTATTAATGCTGGTGGAACCTCTGTTATTAATGATGAGGACCCTTTCAGAGCGGCGAACTGATTTGTTAAAAATAATCTTCATAATTCTGTAGGTTAATATCATTCCTGAACTTATCAGTACGTTCTAAAGCATTTCGAAAAGCATATTGTTTTTCTTCTGAAGGTACATGAATGTACAGTATTTGTACGGACGTTTTTAGCCATAATGAGTCAGCATTGTAACGATTTAATTTTACAGAACGTAGATCAGTCGGTCTATCGAGTTGTAGTACTATAGTGCTGTCGTATTAACCTATATCTCATCGGCATTCTTCAAGATAAAGTTAATACTAGTGGTGCGGATACCTTCAGCAGCTTATGCTGAGTTTCGGTAGTGACGCAAGTAACGTAGCATTAAAATTTAAAGAGATGGAATTTTCAAGCTGTGAATTAGTACTTAGAGTTTTGACCGTTTACAGTTTCTCTGAATACTGTATGTATTCAGTACTTAAATTGTTTTAGATTGTTTCAGTTTGAATTCAAAAGAGCACCGTAAGCATTTGATGGGCGAAGTCTGGCCCCTTTTTTTCCGTTGTCGTCAGTAAGTGCTCAAGTCCAGCTTGTCTTTGATTCAGATTCTGATACTTCAGATTGATGAGCATTCACTGAATTAGCATGTAGGTCCGTTTCCAGTGCGAATATTCTTCCATTTCATAAATGACTTAATCCATAGATACGAGAATAACGAAATAAACATCGCAATGAATTCGTACGTCGAAGTATGTCAGAGACCGCATGATTGTTCAGAGACCAGATTTTGCGGCATATTGCACCACTCCTTTGCTACTGCTCTCCTGGAGGAGAGTCCGGGTCCTTTGACCAGGCAATAGCCCCATGATGTTTGAGCTCTTGCAGTGAGTTCCTTTATCTCGCATCAGTTTGTATGCTACAGCCACCTCGCATTCATTAGGAGCGACGTTTCAGAACCTAGTATTTCTTATGTGCTACTGCACAGTTTCTTACGGGCCGCTTTTGGGCTACGGACAAAGGGGTATTGCAATATACCGTGAAATCTGGCCCTGCATTAGCAAAGCATTATCTGAAAATAAGCATACGCTTTAATAGCAGTATTTTAATTTATATTTTCCTACAAAGCAGTGAAATATAAATATCTCGTTTCAAAGCATGAGCGTACTTAGGAATAGATGTGGAGTAATTTTTGAAAGAGGTCGAACTGTCACAAAATCTCTGTTAATTCTGTTAATCTGTATATTATCCAGCAGACGTTTAATTCTGTCATATCTTAAAAACTTTTTGTTTTAGGTATGAAGAATCTTGCCGATTACGTACCGTAGAAGATCTAGGATCTTTATGTTCTAATTACAATTTTAGATGCATCAGAGGGGTCTAAAGCTGGGCATCTATGCAGATTTTGGAAATCTTACGTGCGAAGACTATCCAGGAAGCATAGATCACCTGCAGCAAGATGCCAAGACGTTTGCTGAATGGAACATTGACATGCTGAAAGTGGACGGGTGCTATTGCAACGCATCGCTCATGGCTAAAGGTGCGGTATAATCTGTGAGAAGTTGTTTACATATACAACTTATGATAGATCAGTTTGAATATTTCATTCATGATTTTGTGGTTATACTAATAACAGCATCAAAAACAGTTTATTTATGCACAACTCAAAAATATGGTCATTCGCATGACTGACCAGTAGTGACGTTTCGGTCCGTGTCTCACGAGCTGTCTTCAGGGTAAGCAGAAGAGTGAGCTTGGGGAGTCCTTCTTTTCATCTGCAGCAGTTCCTCAGTTTCGAGCCTGTGAACGAATGGTTAGGTTGTTTTCTGGCTACAAGTGCGACAAGGCTCATCCAATCCATGCAGAATTCGTATCCTTTGTCACCGTTGACGTTGTTGGAGGACCTAATGATTGGTCCCTCCTTGAAGAGCTTGTTTTGTCATAGTCTTTGATTGATGATGTTGGTCGTTCTGATCAGCGGTTTAGACAGGATTGGTGTCCTGAATTGCGTGCTGCACATCCCTGAGGCTTTTTTAATCTGCCCTCGACTTGGCTGAGGCCGAAGCTTTGTTTCTTCCCGGTTGTTTCGTTATTGTCGTTCACACTCGTCCGCGGTCTTCCATCTTCTCTAGCTTGATAGGTGAATCTTTTATCTTTGAAGGAGAGTGTTCCCTGTTTCTAATGCGTAATAGTTTTAGCAGTTAGATGGTAATTTGTAAATCTAGTCTAGAGAGTTGTTATTTTCACATTTATTTAATCAGGTATTATGTTTATTAGAAATTTTATGTTAATGTTCATATTTATCTACTGTAAGGCAACTTTTGTAACTTTTCACTGAAGTCTTTATGAAGAAGAGAATTAAATAAGGTACATCATTTAGAATATTATTTTTGACATTGTTGTTATTACTAATTGATTTAACGTACATTATTCTGCGTGGAGTTATATTATATTATTATGAATTTAGCCGGATAATTATTGTTATCTCATAAGGTTAATTTATTGCTTGATTTCGTTAAAAAATTCATTGCTGCAGATCTCTGTCTGTAAAAGCCAGAGTTAAATTTTAAGGCATCAGGAAGAGATAGACCAGTTATGTTCTATTTCATTGTCCAGAGGGGTCACTGTTTTAGGAAAGAGATCATTGGGAATGTCTACTACTCTGTTTTCATCATCGCAGGAACAGATAGAGATGGTGTCGGCAACCTGACTTATGAAAACCCCTTTGAAATCATTACGGGTTCATGTACCAGGTCGCTTTTTCAGTTTTCAGTGAAAATTTCGGCAGGGATAGGGCATGGTAGGTTGCTCATGGGTAATCTGATTGATCAAACCGTGTTTTACGCTGTTTTCACTATGAACGATCACACAAATATGTTCTTCCGAAGTGGATACGATTATATAAAAGTTTTAAAATCAGTCGTATGACTTGACCACAGCTTCTTATTTTTGTGCAGCTAACTGATTATTATATTTGTATTATTTGTTGTGTTTATGCTTTTAAAATTCCAATTTTATATACCGTGTTTTTTATGTTTATGA